AACTGATGCAGCTTTGCACTTTGGTTGTGTTGGTCCTCACACATCCAATGTTATTGATGTGATACTGTACCACTGTGCTTGGGCTCCATTCAACAAGCCCAATTGCTGACAGCAATATCCGAAGAAGGTTTAAAACAAGATTGAACCACTGAGATAGAAAGCCCTGTAGAAAGATCCTGCCAGTATTTTATGATAAGTTGGTCTCATCTGAGCCCAAACACAAACTGCTCACCTCAGTAACCCCAGCTGGGGTTTGTGATGTGAATGCTACCTGAGTAGCTGGTGCATTCCCTTTTTTTTTTTTTTTTTCCCTTCAAGTCAGGTAGGTGAGATTGTAGAGCATTGTCCTGAAAGATGCCTGCAAGTCTTGTCTGTTGAAGGGGGTGACTATATCCAAGCTCCTTCTCATAGCAGCTTCGTCTGTATCTAATTTCTCTGGGCTTTGCTCAGCCATATTTGATATCCTCAAGGATTGTGGCTCCACAGTCCTTCTGGCATTTGTGCTTTGTCTGAGCAGCCTCATGGTGACAGTCTTTTTGCCTAACTGTGATTTTTCCTGAGTCTGGTGCCACTCATCCTTCTGCCATGGAATAACTCAGAGAAGCATTGATCTTTGTCTTCTCTACAACCTTTCTGTAGGCAGCTGAAGCCACCTGTCAGGTGAGCCTCCATTTTCAAGAGAAGCTTAACTTTCTAGGAGGGATCAGGGAATTCTTAGATGAGCGTAGAGAACAATATTTTTGTTGTTTCAACTCTTGGGTTCATTTGTTTTTCTGTTACTACTATAATAATATTTTAAAGGTCACCTGCAGAAGAAAAGGGGAAAGGGCTTTTGCTCCTTTGCTCCTTTTAACCTCTGTAAGAGTAGAGAAGTCTCCAGATTGTGGTTTGGTGGGTAGGGTTTTTATTGTCTTGTTTTGTGGTTATTCCTTCCTCCTATGTGATACATACATTTTTAACTTCTCTGTTTTAGAAGGTCATGTGGGTAATGGCAGACAGCTTGGTAGGATTCAGGTGCCTAGGAAACCAAAAAGCAAGGAGACAGTTGAAGGGATAATTGACTTTTGGTTTTAAAGGTGCCAACTTTTGTTTAGCACAACTTCTTTTTGGAACTTGAGCATTTGACCTCTCCCTCTTGTACCTCCAGGTACAGCATGAGAAAGCATTAAAGCAGTGTTTCTTAGAGAGCAAATAAAACTTCCAGTAAAAATGGACTTTCTCTTACTGATAGTTAAATATATAAATAAGCATCAGGGAGAACTGTCTATTCAAGATATCTTTCATGCATTTTAAACTAGCAAAGAAAGCCAAGCAAAAAGGGTCAAATGCAATTTTTTTCCTTTTCAGGTCACCTTTGAGGGCTGTATAAATCAAGACAAGGAATTTTCATTCTTTTAGGAAGCAAGTAGAGAGGCGGTGGAATTTGCAGAGATCAGGTGTGTGATGGGTTCGTGTCGACCTGTGGTAATCCTCCTTTCAGTCTTCATTTGGCACTCACCGTCGTTCTTACCTAGAGTGCTCTAGCAGCTGTAGTTTATCTGCTGTATCTTGACACAAATACATCTTTCCCTTGCTGCGTGTCTCTTCGGAGAAAGTATTGGCTGGTACCACTTAGGAAATGTTGAGGTACTTATTTTTTTCTCTTCACTTGGATAAAATGAATGATCAACAGGAGAGAATGCTGAGATAAATACGTGCTTCCAGTATTTTAAGAAATCTTTTTTTTAAATGGTGTTTCTTTCATGTGGAATTGATTGATACGTGTTTTCAACACATGAATCCCAATCAGCGGCTACTGTGTTACATCAGTCAATACCATAGGAAACATTATTCATTTGATAGAGCAAAGAAATTTTACTGAGTTTACAGATGAATAAATGGAAGATAATCCAGCATTTCACCTTCCAATTTACTTGGCAGAATTAAAGGAGATAGTGATCTCTAAAGGAGTCAGTGGTCTCGACAGCTTCCTGAGGATGAGAAGCAGATAGGGAGGTGCTGAGCACTTCTCCCTAGTCTTCAGCAACAGGACATGTGGGAATGATTCGAAGCTGCACCAGAGGAAGTTTAGACTGGATGCTGGGAAGCATTTCTTTATGGAGAGGGTTGTCAAACACTGAAACGGGCTTTTTAGAGAGGTGATTGTTGCCCCAAGCCTGTCAGTGTTTAAGAGACCTTTAGACAGTGCCTTTAATAGCATGAAGTGGTCAGGCAGATGGATTAGATGGTCATTGTAGGTCACTTCCAACTGAACTACTCGTTCTGTTCTAAAGTAATCATAGTCTTGATTACCTGCAGTTTGACCAGGTTTGGGGCTTTTTTTCCCCTCGTGTGGGCAAAGTAGCTTAGATACTGTCTTCCTATCATGACGCAGTCTTGAAACAATTAATCCCTTTCTTCCTCCTTTTTATGCCCTGATACTTGCAAGTCCAAAGTGGATATGGGGAATGCGGTATTGTATAGTTGAAATGAGTGTGATCAGTCTTGGTCTTATGCTGTGAGATCTATCATTAAGTTTCTTTAATGAGTCCAGATCTTGAAATGATGTACAGTTGTTTAGCCAGAGCATAAGATAGGCAGAGCTGCAGTATTAGGTGCTGAGAGAGCAAAAGTCTCCTCTGGTTTTACTCAGCCTCCTGGGAGACTTCAGATTTCGTTGCTTTCAATTCCCTGTTACTGAGTTAGCCAGCAATATGTAGCCAAGCCCAAACCTATTTTTGGCTTTAACTAGAGTGCTATGAATTTTTTTTGACTCAGGGACATTTGGAAAGCAGGTATTGATATACCGTGTGAAGAAGCCCTCTAATATTAATCTGAGGCAAAGAAGTGTTGAAATTCTGGCTGATTTTCACAGAAATTGCACAAAATATCTGATTTTGAAATTAGTGCTGGTTCACAAATCTGCATGAAAACTACCAGGTCTAGGAACTCTGTGCCAATAATACTACCAGTCCATGCCCTACCTCTGTGTTTGTATTTTGTGATCTGTGTGGTGGTGCATCACACACAACCATAATGTGCAGTGTGGGATAGAGTAAAACAGCAGCTCACTCTTGTTTCTGAAGAGAGATGAGTTTAATTCTTGCTGTGTAGCAGTCTACCCCTGGCTGCTTGGGTACATAGAGTGAGGATAGCTTCCTGTCCAGGCTGTAGAGTCATTTAACGGTATGCACAAGTAGTTCCTGGAGTCTTGTTGGTTATTTTTAAACTGTATTTGAAGTATTTACAGTTGCAAATAATCAGTTTGAAACCTGCTCTTATTTGAGTTTTAATACACTTAGAAAACAACATTCCAAGAATGGGATTGTCAGCTGTTATTTTATTGGAAATTATTGTAGTTCCGGTTGTGCTGTGCTTGTTACAGAACACAGTGCTAACAGGAGTCACAGGTGAAATGTTATTGGAGGATTTTTGGGCTGTATTTTGGATGTTATTTATGTTTACTTTTATTTAATATGAAGCTAAACTTTTAATGGAATCAGTGTGTTTGTCTTTGAGTGGTTTATGTTTAGCCAAAATAAATACTGAGGAGAAACATATTTTTGTAGCTAGGTATTTAAAGAATAAAAATTTAATCTACCCTGGAGGTGTGAAAGTAATAGACTTGTATAATTTCAGTAAAAAATAAAAGCAAAGTTTTAGTGTTGATATTTTTCTTTATCAAAAATAAGTGATTTCACAAAGCTGTAATTTTTCATAAGAGACTAAAGTAGAGGCACAGTAAAATACTTGCAACTCTAAGGAATGTATTTGTATGAGCTACTGTAATGTTTTATTTCCATTCTGGTAGAGATTTCTCAGATTGTAAGGATGGATTTCTTGGCAGCCTCACCTAAGGGAGTCTTGCCAGTCTCGTGCAAATAAAATGACCTTCAGAATAATTGGTCCATTTCTCTTTCTACCTATTTTGTGAGATTTATTTACCTTAAGGGTCATTCATTGTCAGACTTTTGATCTACACACATCTATACCTGTAATAAATAAATTTTTGCCTTGGATTAGGACGTACTTAGTAAATAAATACCAGCATTACTATCCAACAAATAATTCCTCACATGGTAACATGGTGTTAGTGGAATGATAAGTAGTCATTCAGAGATTATTCTTTTTCTGAAAGCATGAGTGTTTTAATAGGAAAGAAGGAAGAAGGGTTGTTTTTTCTCTAGATTTTGTTTCATTGTAACTAGTTTATAATTTAAAAATATATGTGTTTAAAGATAGAATAACATTTATTTCAAGGAAATCCAAAATTCTTTTAGCATCTTGTGCGACAGAAGCATTTACATGGAGTTGCTTCAAATCAGATTGAAGCCTTACATAGGACATTGAGCAGAAGCAGTCAAAGATTTAAGCTAAATTTATGTCAGGGAGTGTTTATTGCTAGTCTTCTGTAGATGCAACTTGCACTGATCAAAGAACGCTTAAACTTTGCTGGCAGCACATGTTTTTGTCATCATTGTTGTGTCTATTCAGGATCATTTACCATTAGTTTAAAAAAGGGGAGGGAGATGTGTTTCCCAAATGCTTTTAGTGACGGTTAAATCTTTACCCTTCTTGAAAAAACTTGGCTGTGAAGCAATGAAAGGCAGAATAGTACAGGATCTGGAGGGTCTCCATCAAACAGGGTTGAAAGGAGGCTGAAACTCGGGGGTTTGGCCTGCTGCCCTTAGGGGCACTTGGGGAACAGTTAAACCTGGGGACAAAAGAGTATTTTCCTTACACACTACTGCTTTATGGCTTTGGATTTTGAGGTTTCCCCCCTGGAAAAGTGACTTCCCTGGCTGTACGGATGAATTTATAAATCAAGCTTTCCCATGTGAAAGAAGAAAAGTTGCTAAATGTGCCATAAACCACTTTCACAAATGTGCGGAAATTTAGAGAATAAATATGGCAGTATTTCCTTTTAAGAGATTGTTATCTGATAAATTTTATTGTAATTAGTTTGAGTCAACAAAATCTTGAAATGGAACTGCTTTTAAATGTGAATTTTCTTTTTTTAGCACTGGTTGGACCATTCAAAATTCATTAAGAAGCAAATAAAAAGTAAGTACTTATGTCTCTGCCTGTTTGTTTTGTTACTTTCTGAAGAATTTGAACTTAGAGTATTTGAACATGATTGTGAATGTTTAAATATGCCCTTTATTGGAATAAATATTTCTTAGGAAATAATTTTTATTTCATGAGTAATTGGCTGACTATCTTACATCTGAGTACAAGAATACTTACTAAGCAGTAACCCTTGTTAAACACATGCTGTTTGTCTGAGGCAGAGAAGGTTGCCAGGTAATTTCAGTCTGATCTGTGAAATCAGGTTGCCTGGACACAGATTGAGGTTCCTGTCACTGCTTCTGATCCAGAACAGATTTCCTGCCCTTTTTTTTTTTTTTTTTCCCAGAGAGTGGAAAATATTTAATTGTGTACTGGCTAATAGGGTTAATATTTTATTTTATTTTTGTTGTATATTAGAAATAAAGCTAGCAGAAATACCTGCTGTTTTGTGAAATGGAATTTTGAAATAGCTGCTGTTTCATCAAAGGTAGTTTTGGATGGAAGGGTTCGGTTTGGCCGCTAAGTCTTCTGTGGAAATTGACTGAGTCAGGGAAGTACTTCCTGGATCTCTGATAATCTGGTTGCAAGCTTGAGTAAGGTACAACATTGGCATTAATGGGTTTTTTGTTACTATCCTGCACTTGGCAACAATGATGGGCCAACTGAAAACCTTGCTTCTGTGACATTAAAATACATCATTTTTCAAGGAAACTGTTGACCTCCTTGCAGGACCTCACAGAGATGGATCTTTATTATTGCTTCAGTGGTGCTTTGCCTTTCTTTTTTGATAAGTATCCAAATATCTAGATGATTTCTGTAAATGGAGGAGTTTTTCAAAGGCCTTTAGGATGGTTTGCTGTCACCCCATGGTGTGTAGGTGTCAGCCTGCTAGATACAAGGTGAAGATAGCTGCTATGGGTAGGATTTTGGTGGTTAGTTTTCTCTCGCTTTTTGATCGCGTTCTAGAGTGCTTTTCCTTAAGTGACTAAATTATTTGCAGCTGTGCTTTCTGTAATAGCTTTGTCCTTTTTTTGTGGACAGTCTCAGTGATTCTACACCACCTTCAATCAGTTCAGTTGTTTGGTTTTGTCCGTTTAATCTGTGAAGGGCCTTTTTAAAGAAGAAGTTTGCCAATCACAGTTCTGAGGAGAACCGAAGAAGGAAACAATTTGCTGGGTGTTGTAAAGGTCTGTCTCACAACAGGATACTTTTCGTTCCTTGCATTCAGCAGATGCTTTATGACGAGTTCCTCTTTCTTGATGGGTGTTGCTCACTGCTCTTTTTTCCAAGTCATTATCTTGCCTATGAGGGCCTTACTAGTGGTGTCTAACTGTGAGCCTGGGGTACTATAACCTGTCTTCTAGGAACTATCTTTGGAACTATATTTGAAATTTAGCTGCATGTCTTTTAGTAGAAGGATCACTAATAGGCACGTGCGCACTGTGTTGATGTGATGCTATGGAAGACCTTAGAAAAGTGTGAAAAACTCATTTTTTCTAGCAATTAATATGTCAGCAGGCAGTTAGTTTGGAAGATGAGGCTAAGGCATATAAGAATGTATTGGTCACAGTCTCATGGTAGCTGGGTAGCTTTTTATTATCTGTGTTACGTACAAAGTCAGATGTAGCACTCACCTTCTCACATTGGAAAACACAGTTTTTGCAACTCCACTTCATGGAATTTGTTAGCTTTCATGTGTTCATGGGTACCTTCCAGAGTTCTCTCCAGCACTTTTCATCTTATTTATCTTACCTTTTCTCATCCATGGGTTTAAGTCGAAGATGATCTATTGGTAGGAGATGTTTTTTTTTAAATAGTGTTTGTGCCTGGTGACAAGGAGCATCACCCTCTCCTTCCCTGTTCCTTCCATCTCCCTCTGGGCCCAGCAAGAAGCAGTGTACCTGGAACTTGCTGTCATTAACAGCATGCTGTGGGGCACACCCCTTTGGACAAAAATGTGTTTGCCAAATGGACTATTGCTTGATCAACTTGAATTAATGTGTATCATAGAGTATGTTAACTGTCTAATTTTTGTATTGCATGCATTTTGAAATTTAAAAAAAAAAAAAAAGAAAGAGTATTTCCTTCTTTGAAGAATTTGTAAAATGTGATTAGTCCGGGGTTTCTTGGGTGGTTCTTGGTTCTTCTGCCTTACCAGAACTGCAACCAGTGTAAACCTTTTTTCTCCAATTAAAATCTCTGCATGTGCAGTTGGACCTCCGTACACGTTGCATTTTCGAATTAAGTACTATTCATCAGAACCGAACAACCTTCATGAAGAGTTTACAAGGTAGGAAGTACATGTGGTTAACTGGGTGACTGGCAGAGGGGTAAATAAGCATCTAAAGTACATGGGGGTACTGTAAACAGGTGGTCTGAGGTTTCTTACTAAGAGTGACCTTTTTGTGTGCCTTCTTAGGCGTTTTTGCAACTCTCAGAGAAATGTAATCTTTTTTTACTTGGTGCCAGAAAGCATTCACAGGCCTCTCCTAGAGTTTTAGTGTCTATGAGATGCTGAGTTTTGATGCTTGAAGTTGTCAAAGAAAGGCAGCGTTGGGTGGGGGGAGCTGCAGCTGGGAGACAGCTGCTCCTAATACCTTTTCCCATCATATCCTGCAAAAATGCCAGTGCCTTGCTTTGTCCCTCTTGCTCTGAAATGTGGGGGTGGTTTAATAATGGTACAAAGGCTACAGAATTGTGGGAATAGACAGATTGAGTTCTTGGTTAGCGGTTGTAGGAATCTCTTCTGCTTCCCTGTGATTCTCTGGAGCAAAAGGTATAAAACCTGCATTGTATAAAGTCACTTTAAGAGTATCTGATAAAGTCTTTTGTTTCAGTCTGGTGGACTGTTTTCTGTAAGGCCTATACCTTGCTGGGTTCCTAGCACCTGGTGTGATTTAGGCGATATTCTGAAAATTGAGAAAGGAGCAGCTGGAGGAAAGGGTTTCTGCTTACTCTGTGTCTTCTTTGTATAGTAGTCATCTATCTTAATGCTGTTTTATCTTTTCTTTTGTTCTGTTTATCACCGTAGGGCACTTTCCATGTCTTCTAATTTGCTTGGCAGTAATCAGTGTACTCCCAATCAGCCTAAGGTGTTTAAAGATGGTTGATTGTTGTAGTTCATGTGCATGTGATGTTTACATTAAACTTATGCCTGCAGGTATATGATTACTGTCGCCTTTGCTATCTGCTGTGTTGACCATGTTTTTTTTCACTGCCTGAGACAAGATTAAAGAGCTAATTGTCACCACCTTATGACATAGGCATAGAATCTTTAATATCTGTTATAAATTTAGTGCAGCAGTGTTAATTCACCAAAAGGGCATATTCCTATACAATGTATAATTAACTTACAGAAATCCCTGCTACATATGTAACTGAGTATAAGATCTTAAGTGAATCAAAAAAACCACATCTCTAATGAGAAAATGCAGTTAAATTAGTAGGAATAATGTATGTTTTCTGGAAATTGGTCTAAGTCTTCGTACATCTGAGTGCACATCTGACAGGTATTACATTTTCCCTATGGTCAAATTATTCCATTACTGTCTACCACAAGATTTCATGCTCAATCCTCTGAAGCATATGATCCTAGTCACTGTGAGATTGGGTTTCTGAGCTATGTGATCATTGCTGTGATCGAGTAAGACATTTTGTCTGAAAGTATTAACCTCTGGTGCTTTGTGATCTAATTACTGCTGAAAGGTGACATTTCAGAAGACTGTTTTAATTAGAAAAACACTTTAGTCAGCTAAATATTCAGTGTCATGAACAATTTTTTTTAATTATAAGCTTGACAGAAGACCACTGTGAAACTATATAAGAAAAAAATTAAAATAGGATGGAAATTGATTTTACAGTGAAGAAATAGGTGCCCTTTTTTTGTTGTTGTTGTTGTTGTTGTTTGTTTTTTTGTTGAGGAAAGTATTTTTGATTTTAATTTTAATTCTTTTAATTTTAAGGGGGAAGGAGGGCTTCATATTTTCCATGTAGCATGTTGAGTCAAAGGTGAAGATTAATAATTCTGTACTAAAAATTATTCCAAGGGGAAATGGAATAAGAGTAAGAGGTGGAAGAAAAATCATCATTAACTTTGAACTTACCTGGTGGGGGAGAGGGGCACTTGAAATTCCTTCTGGAGATCGGCTTTCTAGTTGACTTCAACTTCTAGTGCAACTATAACACCACATTCTCATAATTAGCACAGTAATGGGAAGTGTTGAAACCTGTCACCCATTCTGTCTTTTTTCAGTTTAAAAACAGTTGAAATCCAGTGTATTTTGGAAGACATCTTCTGTCACTTTTGTGTGGCTTGATTAGTTAGTTTAGTTAGAAAAACCACAGAGGAACATGTCTCCACAACATGGTTGTTGTGGAGATTTTTCCTAGGTGTTTGGCTGATTTGGTGTAGCAACAATTGAGATGCCAATGCTTGTCAGCCTGCACGCAGAAAAGGAGCAAGAGTAAGTCATACCAACCAGAACAGGGCTGCAGCACTGCACAGGCCAGCTGTCACTGATAGAAGCACTGCCCAGATTTTTCTTGCAAATTCAGAAGACTTCATGGGATTGTGAATCATTTGGGACATCAATAAGAACAGGAAGTATACGTGTCTACCAGTAATCTGTGCGTGCAAACATCCAGGATTGATTGGCGAGTCAGGTATTAGCCAAGTATGTGAATCAGATGTGACACAGATCTAGCGTGGATAAATCTGCTTCTGCTGTGGTGTGTCATGAGAAATCTTGATCTTCCTTTTAATTTCTGTTTCCCTGTCTATCCTGAATATTCACCCTTCACCGAATTCACTGCACGTCCTCTGTGATGAAAAACTCTTTGTCTTCCCAGCATTCTTTGTAAAGATAGGAGAGGTTTATTTTCCCATTTACTAGGCTGACTCTCAGTAGTGCTTCATGCTTTCTTTTTTTGAGTCATTCATCTTTGCAAGGCTTACCCCACGGTGTCCAGAGCAGTGCCGAGCCTGTCTGTGACTTCGTGTTCCTTGCATGAGCCAGGGCACTTGTGCATGCCTCAGCAAAGCCCAGCTCTGAGTGGCGATGAAGCATGCCTAGGACTGAAGATTAGCCACAGCTTAAAATACTGCAAACAATTTGAAGGCTGTAAATTCCTAGTTGGCCTACTAAATAAATGTGTGGACTTTATGGAATTCAGGTTTCTTTTATTCAGAACTTTTCTACTGTTTTAAGTGACATTTCATTCTGAACTTTTAATATCTAGGTTGCTGTGGTGTGTGCTCAGAGTACATCCCTAAACAGCAAGGCTTTTGACAATGTCCTGAACACTGCCAGACAGTGAAAATTGTTCTTCTCTTTTGATTTTAGTGAAAGCTGTGGGATCTTGAAGGTTGCATGGTATATCTGAGTAATCCCAAAGACCCTTTTTTTTTTTTCCGAGAGGAAGTTAATGAAAATGTTGTGATTACTGGATTGGGGTATTTTTCCAGGTAGTGGAGCTAGAAAGATGCCATTGTAAATACTTTTGACTTTCTGCATTTTTATTTGTCAGGTACCTGTTTGTATTACAGCTCCGGCAAGACATTCTGTCAGGGAAGTAAGTACCTTTTTACTCTTGCAGCTGTAATTTAAAGCATTTATGATAGTTAACTTCTTAGTGATATAAAATTTTATTTTAATTGTGAGATCTTTCTAATTTGTCATGGTATTCATGCGCAGATTATGAACATGATTTACAGTTCCACGTGCATGTTGTTTTTCTTTAGAGTACAGACATAAAGGACTTAGTGTGTATCATGACCATATTATTGACAAATAGAATGGGTAAAAATTTTGATGGATTGACCAGGTGATGGAAATGCGTAAAGAGAGCAAAATTGTCCTGCTTTTTATGACTTGCAAATGTAACATGGGCTAGCCGTATTTTTTCTGTATGGTAGGTAAAATAGAGGAGGAAGAAGTTGAAGTGTAACACTTCCTGTTCAGGGCAACTCTGCAAAAATATTTTGTGTTTTTATAGTCTTACCCTGGCCAATAAATTCACATGTGTTCTATTTTGTTTTTAATTACAGAAAAAAAATCTCAAAACCATATGTTCCAAAATACAGTGTTGAAGCAAAAAATGGTTCTTTAGTCAATTTAATGCTGTCTCTATTAGTTGAAGCTTATTCTGTGGTGAAGTGTATCATGTTTAGTGCTAATTAGAATGTACCAACTTAGGAGATAATCATACACAAGTTAAAATTAATTGTAGATGTTTCATATCCTTAGTAGTTTGTGGAAGTTAATGTTTCCATTTCTTATATCAGGCTACTTTTTAGCTTTATTGCAAGAGGAATTTATTGACAAGAGACATGATTTTTACAGTTTGGGTTTTTTTGTTTTTAAGACTGAAATGCCCGTATGAAACTGCTGTTGAACTAGCAGCTCTGTGTCTTCAAGGTATGCAATATTCTGAAAGTGGTTTATCTTAATGTATAAAAAAACTCACCTACTGGTTTCTTTTTCTTTGTAATCAATGCTTTCTCACTGATAGTGTGTAAATGTTCTTCCTTTTCCCGAGGAGAATTTTAGGGAGATTATTTTCTTGCCTTGCCTCCATTCATAACTTCTGAACTATGTTAGCCAACATCAGCACACTTGCTAAGGAGAAGGAGCCTCTAAGGCATGGCTAGACAAATATTTGTGGAAACCCAGGGCTGACCAGGAAAGAAGGACCCCAAATTGTTCCCCACTGAGGGAGAAGCTGTAATGTGTACACAGTGTTATCCCTTCAGCCTGAGAAGCCAGCTGACCCTTCTGCACACACTTTGTGGCAGGTGGGTCCCTGTGAACTTGGGTTTCCTGCTGCCTGGACAGTGCTTAGGAGAGGAAGCCTGCCCAGTGTGTAACACAAGGAGATGGTTACAGGGCAGAGGGCAGGAGGTGGCAGGCACTGGAGAGGAGAGAATTATATGTAAAGGTAAAAACTGAGATTACTTCTGTGTCAGGAGCAAGTGTTACAAGATTTTATAAAAATTCTAGGACGCTGGGTTTCATTAGTCTATTGTAGGAAAATGTATTTTTTTTTAAGTTGTTGCAAACATGTTAATACAAATACTCATTTCTGTTCAGGCAGTTTGTTTTGCAAATGGGAAGGAAACTGATGTGATGAAGCTCAAATTAAGTTAATTTTTTTTCTGAAAGAAAGTTCAGTGAGCCTCGACCATGTTAGCAGCAACATGAACTGAGATGAAAAATTCTCTTCCTGTTTCTTTGGTGGTTGGGCCATGGCATCCATGACATAAGGAGTGTTTAGGCAGAGTCTCTTAGTTTAATACAGCAGTGGGGATAACTCAGTGATTCTAGATGGACTTGACAGGCAAAACTGGGAATTCAGTTCCAACCAGCAACAGGTGTAAATATTAGGGTAATAAGTTATTTTGCTGCACCAGTCTGGCACAGCTGTGGCTGTTATGTGTGCAAAGAACTGCTGCAGGCAAACTCCATTTGTCTTTTTGAGATGGAGGAAATATGGAGCCCGTCTTTGATTTGTTGCTTCCATTTTCACGGATTAAAAGACTGATAACCTCACCCCTAGTCTAAGCAAGGAGAATCAGGCAAACAATAATAGGTTGATGCCTCAACATTTTTGGTAGTAACTGTCACCTGTGATTACTGTGTAAACATAATATGATAGCTGTCCATCATGTTTATGATGTCTCCAGCTAGGTACCAAAACTAATATCCCTTGACACTGTCTGTGGGAAAACGCTTTTATGCTTTTTTGTGCTGCCTTTTTTCTCGCTTTCAGTTTTCCACTATTTTAACAACATCACAATAAGTTTATCCAAAATTATTTCAACTATTTCATTATCTCTGCTGATATATGCAATAATTAGCAATTTTGGTGTAAAGTTTGCTACATTTTATTGACATTGGAAACTTAATCAAGAAGAAGAGTACAAAGGAAGGTTAATTAGTCCGTCCTCAGCAGGTTACATTTACTCTGTAAAATCCAGCCTTGCTTCTTAGTGTGGTTTTCCTAAGAGCAAAGAGAAAGCTATAAGTGGCTATTTAGGCATTAGTATCCTAAGCCTCTGAAAGAAAAGCCTTTTCACTTCACAGGTCAGCTTTAAACTACATGCTTCTTTTTTTTTAATAATCAATTAAGTTGTTCTGTTCCAGTAATTCTTTGTTTCAAATAGCAGTTTTCAAGGTTAGTGTTTTGAATGAATCATCTTTCAAACGTAAAGTGTTGGTTATTTGCCAGTCCTATGAAAGAAATTAAGCAGATACATAATCGTATGCTTCCCTTAGAGATTGTCTGCAGAAAGGTTGTCATCAAACTTGAATTGTCACTATTACAATAAGTTTTTAACTACCTCCTTGCTGCTGGGTAGATTTAGTGTTTTACTAGATATACTCCACCCCACAGAAAAGAGAATAGGTATGCCAAAGCATGATACTTTGTCATAAAACCACAAATAAAAAGATGGGTCTTCTCCTGTGCCCTTGCGTTGAAAAATATTAGTGTTGGTGAGCCATTCAAGGAATGTAATTCTACGAGAGTAGTGACAGCATCCTCATACAGAGCCTGCGACAACCCCTTCTTCTGCTGCCCTCCTACCCTGTGCAGGAAGCTGGTGAAACTCTTACTCTGAAGATCTATTTGTTAGAGGTCAAAAAAATTAGACAGTTTGTTCCCCTGAAAACAAATAATCAGTGAATGCAGCTATTGAGAAACAAGAGTGATATTCTTCTTTTACCTAATACTGCTGCTTTGGCTTTTCTGTGTATCTTTTGTCCTACAAGCTCATGATTCTTCTTATCCTTCTGTGTTCTCTTTACAGCAAAGTCAGCCTTCATTCCCCACTTTTTCTCTCAGTTAACTAGTAGAGAAATCTCCCATGTTTTTCCTAGATGGTTGTCAACATATCAAACTTCAGATTTTTACTTTTTTTTTTTTCCTGTTGAAGTCCTCCTTGCTAATGGGTTTTCTGTGGGTCCCTTTTGTATACTGGAGACTGGACTGATGGTAATTCTTAGCAATATCTGTGTTAAATACTACTTAACACAGATATTCAGCTTTGATGAAACAGCCATAGAGCTGAAATATCTATTAAGGAAAAAGTCTTATAAATAGGAATACTGTAACAGTCATCTTCCATGAGAAGAAAAAAATATGAGAGAAATATTAGAGAAAAAAATCTGTATGGGGCAGTAATTGTTAGAAATGACGATCATTGATTTATTTAATATCCTCAGGACTGCTAAGTGTTTGAGCAAAGCTCACGTTCTCAAAACTACCTAGTGGGTGGTGTCAGTCAACAGACTGCATTTTGTGTGTAACTTCCTATATGCTACTGGATCCTGCTAGGCATTTTTGAAGTCTGAGTGTGAATTAAATTTTTGCAACTGTTAAGTGTAAAAGTGCCCTAAAGCAATAAAACAGCTTTGTTCAGGGGATTTAGTTTCCCTCTGCCTCAATTTTAGTTTTTATTTTGGTAGTAATACTAAAATACTGCTACTACTACTGCCATCAAAATACCACTACTGTTTGGTAGTAATGGTAGTAAAAAGTTAGGAAACACCAACAAAGGCCTAGCTAGGGAATCACATCATATGTCAAATGACATGTAATATTACTGAACAGTGTCTTTTCCACTGATGTTTGCCACACAGCCCCAAGGCAGTGATGCTGCAGCCTCTTTGTATAGCTGAGAGGCTCCATGAGCAAAGCATGTCACAGACACAAGACAGTTAAGTTAAATCACTGAAATGCTCAGCACTTACATTTCCTGCTGAGCTCACTGGAACTGGCAAGTGTTCTGCTCCTAGAAAAGAAAATACCAGGGCCTAAGCATATAAGTAGAAAGCAACACCTCAATTATGTTAATGTTTCAGCATTTCTTTCCTTAAAAATTACTTAATCTAAATATTACACCACCACAGTGGTTTCAAAAAAACTGCACAACTTTATCACTGGTTTCACAAGACTAGGTATTCTCTTCATGTTTTGACATGAACAGTAACGTAACAAAGCATGCAATAAAATGGGAAATGTTTTGGAATGAAAAGTATGCAATGAGAAGAAGTAACAGTATGGCCTTGATGATTGTTTTTAATAGAAACTTTATTTCCTTTAAGTGCTGTAAAATCCACAGAAGCAGCTCCAGTTAAGCTGTTTTAGTTATAACATTCTTGATTGTCAGAATTCTATACAATAACCTAACACTACTCCTGCAGATGCATTTATCTGACTTCTGTTGTAAAATCTGGTTTGAATTTCCTGGGGCTGGGAGTGGCAGAATGGGGTATTAACTTTAAACGTTGGCACAAATACATTCTTCTACGACATACTCAAAAACTTCCTATCCTTGTTTTTCTAGAAATAATGGAATTAAATGTTTCTGGTCATCCCAAAATCTTTAAAATTTTTAACTTCTCGATTGATTTCAGCTGAGCTGGGAGAGTGTGAGCACCCTGAGCACACACCAGAGCTTGTGTCTGAATTCAGGTTTGCACCAAACCAGACCGAAGCAATGGAATTTGACATTTTTCAGAAATGGAAAGAGTGCAGGTAGAGTACCTGTATGGGAGTGGGGTCACTAGCAACAGGCTTTCTTCTCTTCCCAAGTCAAACCCCTTCAACAGACATGAAGTGGAAATTATGTTTGTCAGTTGAGAAGTATTGGTCCTTCCCATTCTCTAGAAATGGCAAGCAGTAATTTAAAGAAGATTGTTGGAGTGATTTTTCATTTTTTTATTAGTTTTTCTTTGGATTATTTTTTAATAATTTAAGGAGTCAGATCTTTTTTCCGTTTATGTTGCAAATAAATCTAGCAAACAAATTTTCCTATCTTTTGTTAATAAATGTGGTACATTTCAGTGATGCTGTGTTACCTGAACTTTTATCCTTATTGGCAACTTGAGACCTTTTTCTGTTTTCGTCCCTGTGATTTATTTTCATTTGTAGGGAGGAGTGTAAAAATGTAAGCTAAACTTGAAATACCATTTAGTGTCATTAAGATTAAGGGCCCAAAGAAAAGTGTTAGGGGAATGAATTTTAAAGCATTTAAAGTGGACATAAATTTTTTTACCATGAAGTATACATTTTATGTTCATAGGGGAAAGAGCCCGGCGCAGGCTGAATTGTGCTACTTGAACAAAGCTAAATGGCTAGAAATGTATGGTGTAGATATGCATGTAGTTAAGGTAAGATCCATGTGATATTTTATCAGTGTGGGGTTCCTGCCCTTGTGTAGGTCAGTGCCTGAGGGGTGTTCTTGTTATGGTGTGGGTTGCCTTGTGGTCCCTCAGAAATATTTCCCACCTGCAGTGCTCCTCCTGAGGGTGCTCCTCCAGCCGTGTTCCCACAGTGTCCCTTTCCACATGCCTTCTTCTATGACCCTCAGTTTATTCCTGTTGTGTCTCCTTCCCCTGGCAAGTACTGCCTGCTCTTAAACACGAGGGAGCTGTGGTGTGGGCTCCCCTAGCTACAGTGCTGGTGTGGGTCCGTCTCCATGGGCCTCAGAGCCACCTGGGGCAGCTCGTGGCCACACAGGGCACCCTGCAGCCTCCGCCTGTCAATTTGCACCCAGTACAAGGTGCATATTCCTCTGCTCAGTGATGTTAAAAAAATATGCAAACTTTACTGTTTAGTTTAAGACGTGTGGATTTTGCGATACTACTGCTAGTGAGATTTGCACTGATAATGGCATATTGATTATTTATTCTGTACTTGGTTGCAGGGAAGAGATGGTTGCGAATATGCTCTTGGACTGACACCAACAGGCATATTGATCTTTGAAGGAGCCAACAAAATAGGCTTATTTTTTTGGTAATCTCTTTTTGTGTCATATTCCTTTCTGTTAAAATGCTGAAATCTTTCTCCTTTACATAATGAGACCTTGACTGTATTTTGTAATTTAGTTTAAATCTGCAAGGTTTGAAATCTGAAGGTCAAATCTGAAGATAGATTGGCCTGGTTAGAAGTACCACTCTCAAATGTGAAATAGTTGCAGAAATAAAATTATTCTAATATTCTTTTAATTTTATTTTTTTTTTGCTTCTTGTGTTTAGGCCTAAAATCACAAAAATGGACTTTAAAAAGAGCAAACTAACACTTGTGGTTGTAGAAGATGATGAACAGGTAACTTTTTTCCCTTACTTGGGCCTGATCCAACAAAGTGTGGTGTGTGCTTAGGCTGGTAAGAACACAAGGGAGGCTCAGCACACTGTTGGCCCAGGTATTTCTCCTACCAAGGACAATGACTAATACCATGCATGCCAACTTCCAAAGCTTTTGTTTCTGCATTTAGGGCAGAGAGCAAGAGCACACATTTGTTTTCCGGTTAGACAGTGCCAAAACGTGCAAACATTTGTGGAAGTGTGCAGTGGAGCACCATGCTTTCTTCAGATTGCGAGCCCCAGCAAATAGTAAATCTAGTAGATCCGACTTCATAAGGCTGGGATCACGCTTCAGATTCAGGTATTTAGAGAAGTAACAGCAATATTTGTGTTTATAAAATGAGTAAATACTGCGTCCAGCAGAAGGCAGTAGTTTACTTTGTTTATTTCTGTATTTTAAGTGGGCGGACAGAATATCAAGCAACGCATGGGACAAGATTACGCAGAACTAGTACATTTGAAAGAAGGCCCAGCAAGCGATATCCTTCTCGAAGGCATTCAACCTTTAAGGGTAAGTGTTTTTACAGCTGTTCACTGTAGTGATCATGCAGGTGTCCCGTTAACTCATGGAAATGTCATATTACAGTCATGACATCTGTACCACAGTATGTAAAGAAAAATATGTCAGATCGCCTAAAACATCAGAAGGTCCATGGGTCTTTTTTTTGTCCAAAGTCAGAGTTGTTTCCATCTTCTGGTTTTAATCTCTACCTACACTTAATTCTTCCACCCCCATCTAAGGAGGAGGTTTCTTTTGTGGCTCCATTGAGGAGGAAAGAAAAGTTGTAGCAAACTCATTAAGGAAAAGCAAGTCACATTTTCTTAGAAGAACTACATGTGTTATGGGGAGTGTCCAAAAGCCTCACTGACTTGCTTATCTAGCCAGACAATTTTAGGGTTATTGAGCAGTCTTATTATGCAGTTGTGGCTACTTTCCTGTCTGCAATGACGTGTTATTCACCTATCCAGACTCTGACCTTAACTACCTTGCCCTGAGAGTTATGCTGAGATATGCTAAATTTGAATGGAATGGCAAGGAATTGATTTCTTTGTGGGTTTGTAATTTGTCCTTAGAAACTTAAGCTGAGATTTTTGTTCCTTGTAGAAAAACATAGGAAGGACAAGCCCCTCTAAATTCTATATTACTTGAGCCTAAAGGTATCATTGCTGTATGGAGCAGGGTGAGCTGATGTTCCCTTAGAATGTTTATGTGCTCCTTTGCATTCCCAGAATATGAACCATGGTTCCATGAACAGTCCTTGTGGTATTATAGGGACATTTGTTTCTCATGGACAGTGGAGGGAAAAGGATAACAGGTGTGCATGCTTTCTAGAGGCTGTGACTCCCACCTCACTTCCTTCCTTGGCACATATAAGGAGTTTTTTTAATAGAAGTGCAAATTTTTTAAATTTGTGAGACACCGTTATGCGATACATGAGAGCCAACTATATAATGTGGGTGATGTCATAAGTGAAAGAATGGATTCTTTTAATTTTATTCTGGCAGTTAGAGTATCTGTCAGACCTGCAGATCATACCTTGTGTCTCAGTGCTTCTGTACTTATGTCTGTGAGATAGAAGAAGAAAGTGTAGCTTATGCTCAATTACTTTCTCTGTGCACTGCAGCCAGTGAGAACTTCTGTCATACCCAGATGATCTCCCTTCAGAGAGCTCAACAGCATGTTTGTTAAGTTAATGCAAAAACTCCCTCTAGATAGTCTTTCATGCATCTCTTGGCCATTAAGATCTGTATCTAGCTGCAGCCCTCAAGGGTTGGACTCTGTTCTAGCTCTGTCTCTTTGAGACTTCTGCAGTCTCATTAACTTTGTTACCCACTTTCTGCATTCAGCAGACACTTGGATTTTTAGCTGTATCACTGACAGTTTTCAGTGCTCTTGAAAAATATGCTGTTTGTCTTGAAAAAGAGATGATACATCCCAGTTACTCAGCTTCCTTCTTCACCATTCTTTCCAACCTGTCTGAAGCATATGCCAAGACCTTGTTGCTCAAGATTGCTCAGTGCCTTCCCAGATTCCCAACTGATAGGCTGTTTTGGCTACCATTTTCCCCTGTAATAAGACACAGGCCATAAGCAGCTTTGTGAATACTCTGGTTTCTATAAGATATTGACAATTTCTACAAGGGATAGTTTCTGATTTCCAAGGGACTCAGTGGTACTGACATGATAGCTTACAGTAAGGTCAGAAAAGTAGTGTTCTGATTGTGCAGAACATACTCTACCAAAAGCCCTTTTGTGACATTTGGGAAGGATATGCTTGTCTGCTGTCATCTCTGAAAGGCTTTGACTCTTGCAGGACCAGAGGAAGGTTTGTGTCTGTCTCATACTTTAGGATCCTGCACAGGAATGCTAGAAAGCACAGGGCTGCACTTGCAATTCAGACACTTTTGTGCAAATATGAGGACTCACTTTAGTGTAACACCCCAATCACAAGAGCTGCAAAATGACTGATATTTCACCTGTCTTAAGGTTTTATATTTCTTTCTTTTTAAGCAAACAATCCTGTGAAAACAGCACAACTGTGGTAAGTGACTGCCCAAGTTCTCTCTATCTCTCAGTTGCTGTTGTTGGGCTAAAAAGATTCTGAAGATGATTTCTGCGTTAGGATTTGTAGAAACAAATTTTTTGGTGTGGGATGTATTACTTTGGCACCTCTCGTTATGCAGCACCAGATTCTTCTTGGGGACTCTCTGTGGGACTTTAGGTGCTTCTATTATTTAATTTTATTTTTTTAATTTTTATGTTTGAGATCAGACTAAAATAAAACAGATTTCCTGTTTTTCCCTGCTCTTATGTTAGCTTATCAAGCATTATTTGTTCCCGTATTTAAAATGTAAAGTGAAGAAAAAAATTTCACACCCCTCTTTCACGTATTAACTGCTGTGGTGTATGTCTTGAATAAAATATTGATGTCCTTAAGGATATGAATTCTACTTTACTGTAATATTTCCCTGAAGAGTAGAACCCTGAACTATAAAAAATTGTGACATAGATGTACTGTTTACATAAAGCTAATTTTTTTCTCCCTTAGTGCTAAAAATACTCCTGAAGTCCATAACTACCAGGTAAGACCATAACAATTGTGGAAGAAAATGCTGTCATTTTCATATTTAGTGGTAAATATTTTTGCTCTTTTTAATTAGTACATCTGTTCTGCTCCCCTTTCCCACTTACTCTGGGGTGAGATTTTCTGAGGTGGTTCAGAAATAAACAGCATCACATTTGGGTTAAGGGGAAAGAAGAGAGACTCTCTTCCCCTCTCTTCTTGAATGCTCTGCAAGCTGAGTACACTCCATTTGTCATCCTCTTTCCCTTCCCTTTCTGTGAAGGTTAAATCCTTTGGGACTGTGAATATGATGGGCCCCAGGAGACTGCTCTGTGAGCAAGCTTTTGTCTAGAGCAACCTCTCACACTGGATGATCCGTGACAATTTCGAAGTTGCAATTATCTTCCTCATACGAAGAGGAAGTTCATTACTGGTCAGATGTTTGTTGGTTTTTTTTTAATATACTTCAGGGAAAACCTTGCCTGGTTTTTGTCTGTGATATTGGCAGTCAGTGGTACTGAGAAGGAAAGCTGTGCTTTCTTCCAAGCTGTGTATGTGCATGAGAACTTAGTCTTAACACTTTTTATTAAAATCCTCACTAGTGATTTTGTTTCATTATTTCTCCTCGAGATCTCATGGATATGAGAGGGAAATGCTGTCACAAAAGATAGGTGACCTTCTGAAGACTGCTGTTATAACAGTAACCTTTCTTACTCTCCACCTCTGATTAAAGTTGACATTTTTTTGATATGCTTTCTACGAGACGCAGTAGATGTGCCAGGTGGTCTGTCAGACAGAAAAGCAATTTTCTTTGCATTTTTCCATGAGTGTGTCCCAATGAGCAAGCTCCTCACCAAGAGGCTTCGTGTTTGTGCGTAATGACATGGGAGAAGGTCTGAAAGAGTAGGGTTTCTAGGGCTCCCCGGGAGCATGTTCCTCGTGGCTCCAGGAAAAGAAAATGTTAATAAGGAGTTTTTATATTATTTCATTAACCAGGTTCAATGTTTTCACTTGCAGCCACCATATCATCCTAATATACATCCTGCTCAGCCACACTGGCATCCACACACACCTGTGAATGTAAGGTAAGCAATCCTCACTTTGCAAAAAAGATGATTACTTCTTTCTTTGCCTTAATCAGTATGGAGCTTTGGTGGCCATATTGGGCAATTCTCTGCACATGAAAAGCAAACAGAAGTTAGAAGTATGAGATGTAGAGACAGTATTAAATAACTTCTTTTTAGGTTTTGCTATGGAGTATCCTAATCTCGTTTTTTTTTCTGGTTGATATTTAATTCAGAATTCGAAATAAAACTTTAGTGATTTCCTGTAGGGAGTATGTTGGATAGGGAGATGCTCAGTAGCTTCAATAAAACTAATTGCAAATTGATCAGTATTTAATTTCCTGAGACAAAGAAGAAGCTCATTTTAGTGGAAAGTTAAGTTATGAGTAAGCAGATTCTTGCGGTGCAGCACTGTTATCATCTTTTGCAGAAATGTATATGGGAAAATAACAAGTACATGGAACAATTTAACAAGCACTTTACAGATAATTAGTGAAAGTATAACACTGAGTTTTTGAGAACTGTTCCATAAAAATATTCCTGCATGTACTATTGTGCTATCTTCTCGCATACTTTTTTATCTTGTAGCGAGTAATGAGAGAGATTGAGTGAAAAGAAATTTTGGAAGAAATTCAGTCCAATTAAAACCACCTTGGTGGAATGCACAGTGGAGGCATGCACCTGCCAGTGGATATGCGTCTATGCATTACACGTGATGAAAGTCAGCTGCTATTTTACCCTAATAAGAAGTAACACTTTTAGGTGACTCACTTTTTTTAGACAAGTAATTACTGTCTTCACTGAAAAATACCAATACCCTAATATTCATTCCTACTCATCTAACGTTTATATCCTTACACCAAAAGAGACAGACTTTGTTTTTAGTGTGGGCAGGCTCCGGAGGTTAGGCTGAGCTTAAAATGTATGAAAAGACAATTTGGTCTGAGTTGGAGTCTGAGAATGCAGGAAAAAGGCAAGTATGTTATTAGAAATACTTACTAGGCAGAAAAGCAGACATAAGCATTGTCATCTCAAAATTCCTAGCACATAACAGTAAAGCAGATGCTACATTTATGCAAGAAACAAGAGACTTGACGTTAGATAAATAACTTTGCCTGTATTTCAGGTTTAAAAGTCTTCCTAATTTTAGGGTTTACTTGTCCATTTTATTATGCATGATTTAAAATGTACAATTTCACATCACAGAAGAGTGGTTGCCAAGAGAGTTTAATGATTTTATAAATCATTTGAGGTTTGGGTGAAATTTTTCTGAAGATTTCATCACTTACAATACTAGTCTGTGACATTTTAATGCCAAATAGTTCACCCTGGAGCAGAGTGATACTGAAATAACACAATAATGTATTGTAATGTGTGTAGACAACCTTCCCCTTCAGCCCCTCCACTGCCTGGGCAAAGACTAAGGTCAGTGAAATATGAACAACGGCTTTTTTTACAGCAAGGCTTGTAAAGCTAAAAACAAACAAACAAACAAACAAAAGTATTTAAAAGCTCAGTCATGCAAGCTCAGTAAAAAAGGTGCTCAGAATTTTTGTCCCAGTCAGGGGACAATGTGTAGGTCAAGCGGAAGCTTCAACTTACTCTAGCTTGGAGTTGATGTGAAAGAATTGGACATTTAACATCTGGGATAGCTTGATTTGGAAAAGATTAATCCATTCAGCCATGAACTTGATATCAAGCTACAGATGTATAAAATTCTTTCTGTTGGGCATGAACGTCTAGAATGGGCAGGAGCTGGAATGAAACCACCTGTGCAATATGTGTTACATATGAAGGTTTTGTCGAGTAACTCGTGAAATAGTATGTGGAATTGTCTCAATCTTAGTGAAATTATTTCAGTGAAATTATTTGTTTGCAGTTAGCTTCATGTTTAGCTTTCTGAAAAAATTAATTCCAATTAGCAGTTGTCATTATATAACTTTATAATATTTCTAAAAAAGGTCAAGTCTAAACCTGGCCTGTGTTTCTGCTACTATAAAAAATTACCAGAACCGTAGAATGGTTTGAGTTGGAAGAGACCTTAAAGATCATCTAGTTCGAACCCCTTGTCATGGGCAGGGACACCTTTCACTAGACCAGGTGGCCCAAAGCCCCAACAGACCTGGCCATGAATACTGCCAGGGATGGGGCACTTCTCTGGGCAGCCTGTTTCAGTGCCTCACCACCCTCACAGAAAAGAATTTCTTCCATATGTATAATAATTGCAACATCATTTTTGTGATAGGGGAATCTTAAATATGGTGGTTTTCTACATAGTGTTCAAAATTTCCATTTGTTTATTTATTCCCCACTCCCCAGCAATGATTCAGGAGACACTGTAGGAGAGGTTGAAGTTAGTATCGCAAAACACCAATAAGTAGTAAACAAATAATGAAAAAAAATTTTTTCCCATATTTTTTCCTGTGGAACTTCCTTTTGCAAGTTTCAGTACATAGTTGGAGAGAAATACCTGTACTAACTGTAGATTGGAGGTGTTCATCTTAGGAAACTGGGCACGTGTAACTTATAGGCTGCTTCGGTGTAGTTAACTCCACCAGTGCCAAAGGAACGGCAATAACTACAGAAGAGCAATTTTCATTCATAATAGGATTGCTTCTCAACTTTTGGGGCTTTAAGGGTATACTTTTATGAACTCAACTTTTTGCATGATACGTTTCACTTTGCTTGTTTTTTTGTACATACTTAGTTTTCCCATAGCCTCCTCTTCCTTCCCCACCATCCCTCTGGGATTCAGGAGCATTGATGTACTATGCTTGTCTGTAACATTGAAAACAGAGAGGGTTTTTAATGATTGAGCTCTGATTGAAAGCCTTTTGAAATCAGCTAAAAGATTGCCAGTTGCTTCAGTGGGTTCTACCTTGGACCTATAGGTCCATTTCCTTCTCTTACTGATGCTGCCAGTCATTCCATGTGCATGCTTAGCACTTGCTGGATGAGCTCATGTTACTGTGTAGCACTCCTAAGTTTACTTCCATTTCTCACTAACCAATAACTGTGCAAATGGTACAGGCCACCCTATCATGATGACAGGCCATATTGGAAACCCCCCACAAGTGGAGAGGACAGCAATTTACGGTATATCCAGGAACAGAACCAGAAGAATTTAGGAGGAGTCCAAAGCATGGTGTACCAAGATAAACTCATGACGACTCTCTGAAAAACAGCCATCTTCATTTCACCTACCATCTTAGATGATCATTGCATTCCATGGTCCTTGTCTGTCTGCACTATGTTTAAAGTGTATTGTGCATAAAGTGTGTGTCTTTGTATGTACATCCATCCTTGTTTAGTGTTCATGGACATTCTTGGGAAAAGTGTTCTCCATATCTTTGTTTAAAAAAAAAAAAAAAAAAAAAAGTCTTGAAAAATCTTTTGTGAATTCTGGTAAGAATTTTCAGTACCCCGAGACCAGAAATATTTCTACCATTTTCCAAATCTATCACCCTCTGCCTGCTGTTGAAGATCAGCCATTTGTGCCTTAGTTATTTTTATTATCTTATTTCTTTTGAAATAAGTAGGTGAAGTTTGAAAACCTTGATTTTAGTTGACATGCAAATAGGAGTTTGGAGGGAGATAAACAGAATTCACACTGGCAATCAAAATGGCTTGTGGGCCACCAACAAAGGGAGCCTACTGAGGTAGTTATAGGTTCAGATGTCATTTCCTTTTAATTTTTGTGTTCTGCAGAAAAAATAGAGGTGCTTACCTAATTTTGAAAACAAGTATAGGGAAAGAATACTGTAATAAATTTCATGGAGTATGTGTATTTTTTTTTTGACTTACTGATTACGTGGATAGCATTCCCCAAAACCATACCTGCTGCTATAAAGGCAAGAATGTTAAAAATGAATCCTTGCTAAAAAGGGTGCTGCTGGTGACTTATTTTTAATGTGATTATGGAAGTGAACTATACAATCACATGAAACTACCTACTAAGAACTTTTTCCTGAGTGGATTCAAAACACAGCACATAATTGGTACATTACAACATGAGGATGATGCAGTGAAATAGCTCTATTTTTTTAAAGTTAGACGTTTGCAAAGTTGAATGTACATTTTACAAACCTAGGACTTTGAATAGGATTGGCTGGTATTTTGATCACTTGCTGATTTTTTTGTTTTGTTTAAACTGGAAATCATAGTGCCATCTTCACTCGTGCATTTGTTTTAATTAGGCCTTATATCTGTGGTCTCTGAAGTTGTTGGAATGAATGATTCTTCATTTGGGATGTTTTTAAAATGAAGTAGTTTTTAACTTGATTTTGATAAATACACATTTATAAATGGCTATAACCATGAATTTTTTCAGAGCAAATTTGATAGTTTATAAGTTTTTGTGAAATATTTGTTTACAAATGCTATCTTTTAATATTTGTTTTGATCTGTCCTGTATGTGCTAAGTACAAATAAAAAATGTCAATCTTGTTGTTCTGATTATGCTGCATTATTTATTTTTTAAAGATTTTGGGGGAAGGTGGATAGATATGATATAATTTATGCTTGTACCTATTTTGCCCTGTAGTCACTAGTGCTGTGGTGGATCAATGTTTTCAGTCTGTAGAGGAGGGGAAAACAAAGCAATTGTGCACTGAGATGTGAAAATGCCAGAGTAAGCCTAAGGTGTGTAATCACAGAGGCTAACTTTGGTTTCCTCAGATTAGTCTTCCTCTATTTCAGCAGCATTTTGTTTGAGAAAGGAAGAAAGAGAAACTTTGTTGGAACCTCTGGAACAAAAGTCTAGTGTAGCTGATGCTCTGAAAGCGCTCTGGAGGAGAGTTTTTCAAATACTCACATTAAAGTGGGGTGTTGGTGCTTCGTGATTTGTACATCTCTATTCACAATACAGTATTATTCTTGTCGTATAACTTCATCAGCTTCTGTGTGGTTTGTTGTCAGTGTTCCTCCTCGTCACGTGTTGTTATCTGTGGTTTTCGGTTTGTTGTTGAAGGTGCACTGAACAAGGGATCTATTCCCTGACAGATTGCAAGGAAATACAGCAC